ACCCTTATAAATTAAACATGGGACAAGAAAAGGCAATGTATGGATGATTGTTTTAGGAGTGTGCACCCATGACACCAAATTCATATACTTAGGTTAAGATGGATTTGACACACAATGTTTTACTTGGGTTAAGATGGATTGACACACAATGTTTGAATAGAGATGTGTCCCAAATCTAGTTGTAATAAAATCAGTGACTTAATCAATACTACAGAACTAAGCTAGATATAATAAAATCTAGTTTATACGTAATGTTTTGAAACGATATTGGTGTATCAAAACGTGACATACATTTATTTGAGCTTATACATTTGTGTTTTTGTTTAATTATTACTAATATATTGTATATTGTGTTATTTGTATTGAATTTTTGCTCGTATCTAGTGTAGTGTGTTCTATCTATTCACCTTATTTCACTCATCTAAGCTTTTTTTTTTTTTTTAATTTTTATTTGAACTTATCTAAACTTATTTTCCTTATCAAAATTTATTTTAGTTATAATTTGTATTTAGGTAGAACCTATTCTTCTTGAACTAAACTTATTAGACTATAAATAAGTAAAAATAAGATGGTTGAAAAGTACAGGCTCTAATATTACTTAGCTATGTTTGCTTTCTTTAATTGTATGTTACAAGTGTATTTATTTTGTTTGGTACTATACAAATGTTGTAGTAAATTGGATAAACTTTAGTTAGTCAATAATACAATGCTTGTTGTTTTGTGTTAACTAGCTTGAAAAGTTTTGTGGAGTGTATGTATGCCAATTTCTTTAACCATAAACATAACTTCAAAAAAATAAAAAATCTTTCGAACCAACTAACATACTCACAACACTAGCAAATAAGTTGTCAATTTTCTTAGAAATATACGAAGTACGTATATCATAAGTTAGTTTTGCAAGCTAAAGAACGGACTGAAGCAGTTTACAAGACAATGGCACAAGAGGTTTGAGGACTATTGTGATACAGTGATTGTGCTTGACTATATGATTCTGTATGATTGTTGTAGCCACTACTATATGATAGCAAATGGTTCTTCCATATATCTGGTCTTGTATGTAGATGATACGCTGGTTTGTAGAGAAAAGGTGTGATATTTAGAAGTTGAATTGAAGTGTTTCTCAAGCGCTAAATTTGAGGTAAATTGCTTTTGTAAAAAAAAAAGTTGAGATGAATAATATGGGTGCAGTTTGTTTCGCGAATTAAAATAAGGATAAAGGTTAGAAAATAGATAGACGTGTTTGCTAAGTATTGACAAGTCTAAAAATTTAGAAAAAAATGATTCTAATAATCCCACCTTTAGCCGGTTCGCTATTAATAATCCCACTTTTATAGGGGATCTTCTTCTATTAGTCTCTAACTTGTTGATAACCGGTTTTGATAGGTTAAAATGCCACGTGACCTTTTATAATTGGTTGAAAAATAAAAAAATTAAAAAAAATTAAAAAATGAAAAGACAAAAAAAATCCATCAGCCACCCCTCCACCCATCGTGAAACCCTAACCCTTACCCTAGTCCCACCGAAAACTGGTCGGCCTCCACCATGAACCCCCGAAAACGGCCGGCCCTGACCCAAACCCACACTCGAAACCACCACAACCACCATAGCCAAATACCCTCGGAACTTTGTCGAAAACCGCCATAAACTCCTGAGACTCCGTCGAAAACCACCATAAACTCCCGAAACTCCCCCGAAAACACCTATACATCCCCAAAACTCCATCGAAAACCCCCTTTAACCGCTCTTAAGGGTTTTTTTTTTTTACTATTTTTATTGAAAATCGGGGTGGTTTTAGGGGAGAGCTGGGTCGATTTTGGTTAGGAGGGGGTGAAAATGGGTGTTCCGGCGGTATAAATGGGGGTTCCAGCGATGGGAATGAGGAGGAGCCGAGGAGGGGTTGCCGGAGGTTGGGGGTTAGGTGGTCGTTGACTTGTTAGGGAATTTTTTTTATTTTTTGACCGAAATTTATTTTTTAGTTTTTTTATTTATTTTTTGACCAATTATTTAGTGTCACATGTCACTTAAATTAAAAAAAAATGTTTACATAATGTATAGGTTACCGGTCATAAGGGACCAATAAATGAAGATCCCCTATAAAGGTGGGATTATTAAATAATAATCTAAAGTGGGATTATTAACAACGAACCGACTAAAGGTGGGATTATTAGAATAATTTTTCCAAAAATTTAAATACTCTCCAATAATTGCAAATATTCAAATTTCTACTATGTTTTTTAAGGGTGTCCATTATTCGGATTAAAACCGAAATCCAATCCGATTCAAATTGAATTATTAATTCGGATCGGATCCGAACTTTAAATCGGATTGGATCGGAATGATTTTTTTTTTTAAATTTGGATTTTCGGTTCGGATTGCATTTACCTTGTTCGGATCCAAAAACCGAAATAACCGAAATATATGAAACTGTTATTTTATAAATAAGTATTGTTAATATTAATCATGTTAAACTATGTTTATAATTATATTAATATTAATCATGTAAACCCTATGTTTTCAATACTTGTATTAATCATGTACAACTATATTTTCAAGCATTGAATTTTTATTATTGTATTTTTTATTTTTATAATCGCATTAGGCCCAAAAAATATGCAACGTATTTTAATTTGGATTTTCGGATCGGATCCAAATAACCGAATTTTAATTTGGATTGGATTTGGTGAGGAATTCAGATCGGATTGGATTTGATAATTGAAAACTAAAATTTATTTCGGATCGGATTGAATTTAGGCTAAATCCAAACCGAAAACCGAATGGACACCCCTAATGTTTCCATGTAAATCAAGGAGACGACCCCATTTGATCTTATTGATAAACTTTGTTGTTAGTTTGATGGTGAATTCGTAAATAAAAGGAAAAGTGGAACCATAAAAATCAGATTTTGTGGTGTTCATGTTTGATGCGTTGCTAGACTGTGTGATGAGCTAGACCTCCTTCTTCCTTCCATGATCTCCACCCACCTTCTACTAACACTTCCACTGACAACCCCACCATCTCCTGCGACTTTGCTACCATATCAAACGAAAACTCTATGAAAAAGGTGAAATTCAAGGCACGGTTAATCCATCCCAAAGGGTAGGAGTGACCATGTTCTCCATGTCGCAAAACGGCGTTTTAGGATGTGCTTTGTGGTTGATTGACAAATTGATGGAGAGATGGTGGTGGTGGTGATGATGGGTTTCGGCGAGCAAACGAGAAGATCGGTGGTGGAGGTGATGGGTTTCGGAGAGGAAAGAAGGACATTGGGGGAAATAGTAGGGGTGTCCATTCGGTTTTCGGTTTGGATTTAGGCCAAATCCAATCCAATTTTCAATTTTTCAATCCGATCCGAATTACTCTCCCAGTCCGATCCAATCCAATCTGAATTAAAATTCGGTTATTTGGATCCGATTCAAAATCCGAATTAAAATACGTTAATTTTTAGCATCTAATACGATAATTATTTTTTAAAAACAAACAATTATAAAAATAACATTTGTCCAAGCCTTAATATTAATGCAAGTCTTGAAAATAGTCATGATTGTTCAATGTCAAGTCAATATTAATTAATATTAAGCTAGAACAACAACAAGGCAACACCATTTTGACAATTGCACAATGCACCAAATATCAGTAGCAAACTACAAGGCATCACCATGCATCATCAAATATTAGCATTCAACAGCAACAATTTAATAAAGAGAGTAAGAAAGCTGTTCATAAATGCTTAATTTTACAATTTGGTTTTCGGTTTGGTTTGGATCCAATTAGGGTCAATCCAAAAATCCGAATTTTTAAAAATCTCAATTCGATCCAATCCGATTTAAAGTTCGGATCCGATCCGAATTGATAATTTGGTTTGGATTGGATTTCGGTTTTAATCCGAATTATGGACACCCCTTGGAAATAGTCCTTCAATGGCCGGAAGATGGAGGAAGGTGGTGGCGGCGGCTGGGGTTTTCATTATAGAGGAAGGAGGAGCTTGTTTTCATTGGGAAGAAAGGGGAATGATCTGACTCAACACACGAGCTTGCAGTTTAATGAACTGTGAATAGTCCACTGTTACTTCGACCACTAGCTAAATTAACAAAACTTTAATAATAAAAAGGATCAACAACTTGTATTTCCTCAAAATCATGTACATAGTATCTAGCAGGAGTCTAATAGTTAAGGATAAAGAAAGTGGGTAGGCGAGATTTGAACATGTGTCTCTTAGTACAAATAAACTAAGTCAAGACCTCGTAAATATGTCCTTTTTTTTTTTAGAAAAATATGTCCTATTTTTAATTTATTTTTTTTAAAATATTTGGTTTAATAATTTGTTAATTGAATAAATTGTCTTTTTTAAAATTTAACTTTAATCAATAACATTCACTCTACCATTAGTCTTTTCATCTAAGGATAGAGAACATGAGTAGGAGTCATTTGAACTTGCGTCACACAGTGTTAACCACTAGGTTGATACCTCACATACAATCTACATTTTTTCAGTTGTATAGGATTAGTCATATGTTAATCGGATAAACAATTCTAATTGCCTTTTTAATTTAAATTTAGTAATGATATTCATTATATATTTCTTTCCTAAAATTGTGTACTTAGAAAAAAGAAAGATACGACAAATTTATCGAAAAATAGAGAAAATCATTGATACATAGTCATTATATCCAATCCCATAAACCATAGTTGGATAAAAAAAATCAAAAGCACCAAAAACTCAAACATAACGGTCGAAAAAATGAACAAATCAACTCAATGAAGAAAAAAGTTTGTTAGGCAACAAGCACAATAGAAAACACAACAGAAAAAAAAATAAAAAAATAAGAAAACAAAATAAACAGATCGATGAATCCCAAAATTATCTCCGAAAACCAATCCAAAACCGAGAGCACGGATCAGTGACGTGTCAACTACAATAAATATAAAAATAAATAATAAAAAAAAAAAAATCCCGCCTAAAAATCCTAAGCTTTAATGAAATGTAGTATTCCACTTAAGAAAGAGAAAACTGAAAAACACTCGCGTTGGAATTTCAATTCAAATTCCCACAAAACCCCTCCTCTTCTCCCCTTTTATCTCTCCGCTCCTTTCCCCTTCTCTTCTTATCATTCTCTCTCTTCTCTCTCTCAATTTCGCATTTCTCTCCTCAAACCGCATATCTTTCTCTCTCTATTTTCTCTCTCTTCCTTCAAACCCTAACCCTAGCCTCCAGGTACTTGTCTCTTCTCAGATTTTGTCCATTTTTTGCTTTTTTTCGTCGTTTTTCTGCTTGTTTTTCGCTGATCTTTCGATTTTTTTTGTTGATTTTTCGTTGTTGTTGTAGATATGAAGGGAGGAAAAGCTAAGGCTGATACCAGGAGAGGCGGTGATGCTAAGTATGTTAATTTTCTTCAATATTTTTGGTTTTTAAATGTTGTTGAAATTGATTGTTTGTGCTTTGCTTGAGGTTGTTGATCTTTCGGTATTGATGCGTTTCAGTTTGAGATTTTTTTCCTGAATATTGAGCATATTTGAGATTTTTTTCCCGATTTTTTAGCATATTTAAGATTTTTTTTTGGATTATTGTGTATTTTTCTGATTTTTTTCGGATTATTGAGCATATTTATGATGTTCGATTTGTTTGAATCGTTTCGTAATTGGTTGAATTTGAGATTTGTAGCGTTGTTATTATTTTAAATTATTTTCCCCTAATTTTTGAGCATATTTGTGGTTATTGATCTTATGTTTCTCAATTGTTGGTAAATGGTTGAATTTGAGATTCATAGATTTTTATATAATTTGAGCATGTTTGGAAGCTTAAGTATGACGTTTACGTAGATTTATTGATATTCAGATGTGCGGTGAATTTGGTTTGATTTTTTGTTATAATTATGAGCATGATTGTGTTGGTTATCAACCTTGAGATGGAAGGATATGTTAATATTTTGGTAGTTTTCGCTTTCCAGATCTGAGATCTTCATGTAATGTGTCTGTTATATTATTTGTTTACTCGATTGCAGCGATTAAATTGAGTTTTTACTTTATTATTTAGGCTTTCTGTGAAGAAAGGAGCCGCGGCTAAGAAGGGGAAGCCAGCAAAGGACCCTAACAAGCCAAAGAGGCCCCCAAGTGCCTTCTTTGTTTTCATGTATATCTCTATTTTTCACTCATTTTTCGGTTTTTCCGTTGGTTGTTTCTGGAAACATGCTGTGTTTGCTGGATATTGACTTTGTCGATTGTGAATTATAGGGAGGAGTTTAGAGTGACATACAAGCAGAAGCACCCCAACAACAAATCTGTTGCTGCTGTGAGTTTCGAATTTACGATCTGTCTTTTGAACTATTTGATTTTATTGGTTTGTCATTTGATGGAATTTGATTTTATGTCCAGGTTGGGAAAGCTGGTGGTGAGAAGTGGAAATCATTGACTGAAGCTGTAAGTTTGATGTTGATTATACTCTGCTGGGTTGACTTATGTATGTGATTCGAAATAATTGAACTAATTATTGTTTTTTTTTATTGATTTCAGGAAAAGGCTCCCTACATCCAGAAAGCAGAGAAGAGGAAGGCTGATTATGAAAAGAGCATGAACACCTACAACAAGAAATTGGTATAGTCTAATTTAAAAATTCTAATATTCATGCTGTTATTATTGTTTGAATGCAGTAGAATTGATAATTGGAGAATCAAAGTGTTAACCACTGGTATGTAAATGAAATGCAGGCTGAAGGTAAAGATGCCGAGGAAGAAGAGGAGTCAGACAAGTCTAGGTCTGAGGTGAATGATGAGGATGACGAAGAAGGCAGTGGCGAGGTATATTATATCATTGATCTGTGTTTTAATGTTTATCGATTGGGTTTCATTTCTTTCGAAATTTGCTAATTGTGTGTTGTTTACTTTGATCAAACATAGGAGGAGGAAGATGATGATTAAGTGTTCCAGAGTGGGATGATGAAGGTGTTTTGTGGTTTTGGAGCGCCTCATCTTGATTGGAAGTATAAACTGTTAGTAGTTTAATATAAGGTATCAAGAAAAAAAATCATCACTCTGTATTTTAAGTCTTAACTTTGACTTGATTTAGCTTTTGGCATCTTTGCCCTGTAGAGCAAGTAGTGATTTACTTTCGTTCTTAGTTTAAACATGATTAAGATCGCGTTGGGTTAGCTGAATGAATGGTAATCTTAAATACAGTAGTTGTTTTTCTGTGCCCAATTCTCTCCAGTAAATTGAATGTCATCTATCCTTTTCATTATCTGTTTGTTGTTTGGCTGCTGGTAATTTATGCTTTCATTGTTGTGGAACTTATTGCTCTTTTAGCCTTTGCCTTATCCCTTTGCGCATGAGTGATTTGTGAACGCTGATCACATTGAAATCTTAAATTGGTGAAGTTGCTGTAACTGTTTTCGAAACCAACACACGAGTAGTCATATACTAGTTTAAAATTACACTGTCAATGCGTGATCTGGGTACACGATTACTTATCTAGCTGTTTCAGTAATTTGATTCTGTTTACTGGAATAAGGATGCTCTGTTTCTGGTATGTGGGATTTTTGAAGTACTGGTATTTTGCAAGCTTTGTCGCAAGTACAAGAAAGCCATTGCATTTCAATGTCTGCAAGGACAAGAAAGCCATTGCATTTCAATGTATCAATTGTTTCCTTCGGAAAAAAATACTTCCCGTTTTATTTTTATTTAGGAAAAGTCAATAAACGTTTGATCGTATATTTTAATTTGGGAAACTCAATTAACGTTTCATCGTATAGGCAGGGCAACATTAGTAATATTTAATCACTCCAAGTCAAAAGTTAGTAATTGATCACTTGATTTTTTCTTTTTTTATAAAAGGACCACTTGATTAGTTTATTTAAATATGATTGTGATAATTTAATGTCTTATCTATTTTTCTGGGAATTTTTAAGATAGATGATCCGTTGAAGTTTAATATACTTGAAAGTTGAAAGTCAATGTATATGTAATTAGACAGGACAGTCTTTGAGCAACTGATTAGATGACATGCAAGAATAAAACTTCTATTTCATAATATTCTCTGTAGTTTGACAAATTCTTAAAATCACACTTGCCTATGCTGCTATACATGAGCTTAATAGTAGTAAAGTTCTTTATTCATCAATAAGTGAAAATTATACAATTAATACTTTTTTCAACGAACCAATAGCTTGTCACAAGCTAAGTATATAAATCAAAATAGCTTATATGAATAGTGTTAAAGGCAAAATGCATAAGCTAAACTGCGGAGTATTGGAGTAATAAAAAATGATATATGTATAATTCATGGTCCAAAAACAAGTATAATTTGTTGTTTGCTCGGCATTGTTATGGTTAAGATAGTTGTATGAGTTTTGTTTTAGATTTTACTTGATGTTTGCATAATCAAATTTTTATAATTTTACTTGTTGATAAAACAAGATAAAATAACGCATTGACGTCAGACATTAAAATTAGAAGTGTTGCAATTGTTTTTTTTTTTTGAAATTATCTTTTATTTGCATTTAATTAGCACTTAATATGGATAATAAATATTCGAAAAATACCCACATGAATATGGATATATTGACATGTTGTTTGATACTCCATACATGAAGTAAAATTTTTCAACAAGGATTAGTGTAAAAATAAGGTCAAAACTTAATTATGTTAGAAAATCAGATCATATATAAAAAAAATTCAATTTAATTGAAATTAATCAAAGCAAATCAATCAGTAGAACTAAATATAGCTATTTACTTATTAATCACGGTTCATGAAGATAGGCTTAAAATCCATTTACTCCTCCAGAAACCGAAAGAACATGGTGGTATTGGTATAAACAAGGCAATGGAGCTTTCCTTGCAAAATTGGGTTGGAGGGTTCTCATTGAACACCCAAACCTGCAGGTATGTCGAATGTATGGAGCGGGATTACAGAGAATGCGAAGCTTCTTGGCGAGGGAATGCAAATAGCAGTGGGGAATGGTAATAACACCCTTTTTTGGGATCATAAATGGGTAGGTGATAAACCCTTAAGTGACTTGTCACTCAACCACTTCCTTTAGAATTAGCTGAAGAAGACAGTGGTTGGAGGTGGAATGTTTTTGCCCCCTTTCTCCCTCAAAATGCCCCTAAACTCATACAAAGCCATGAACTTAGAGTTGATCCTAGCATAGGGGATTTGAATTGGTGTGTTGGAAAGGAGATTCGAAGGAAAGGTACACCATCAGCTCTTCGAATTATGCGGCATGAAACAGATACTATTGATGAGAATTGCTGGGATGTGATTTGGAAAGCTCCCGTTCAACAGAGGATTCGTGCATTTCTATGGTTAGCTTGTCATGATCGTGTGCTTAGTAATCTGAATTTATTTAAGCGCAAGCTCACAGATACTCCCAAGTGTAATGTATGTGGTGCTAGAGAGGAATCAACTCTTCATATACTCCGTGACTACCCAACCGCAAAACTGGTGTGGCGCAAGCTTGTTAATCCCACACAGTTCTTTCAATTCTTTTAAGGTTCACTAAAAGAATGGCTGGAACTGAACTTAGATGGCTCAGGGAATACTATGGCTGAGGATTGGTCGACTAAATTTGGGGTGGCTACCTGGTGGATCTGGCGCTGGCGTAATTGCCATGTATTCAATAGAATAGATGAAATTCCAATTGATTTGGGTGCATTTCTTCGAGTGCGTGTCAAGGAAACAAAGCGCAGACTTTCATAAAGCCATCAAACTCCAGTGCAATCTCAAAAACAAAGAGTCACAGTTGATATTTCATGGTAGGCCCCTGATATTGATTGTTATGTCCTTAATTGCGACGAAGCAGCTAAAGGGTGTCCTGGCCCTACCATCCGTAACTATGAGGGGGGTGTTTTGTCTCTGGTTTCACAGCTAGCTTTGGTAATTGTACAACTTTTAGGGCTGAGATTTTGGCACTTACTAAGGGACTTGAACTTGCACAAAGTTTACAGATTAAGCGATTGGAAGTGCAATTAGATAATCTAGCTTGTGTTCAAATTATGAAAAAAGGTGAAAGTAGTGGAGGTGAGAATGCGCATGCCATCAATGAATGCTTGAGGATGCTTCCAAATGCTAATTGGGGGGGGGGGGTGAAGGTTGCTCATAATTTATAGGGAAGGAAATCGCACGGCGGATTGGTTGGCCAATCGCGGAGTCTCTAAACACACTAATTTTTGTATTGTTAATTTTATTCCCTTAGAGTTTGGTAGGATTTTAGAGGAGGATGCAAGGGGAGTTTCTCTGCCTCGCCTTGTTCCTCCTTAGTAGTTTGAGCTTTTGTTTGGTTTTTTGTTGCTTTTCTTTTGTTTCTTTCCTTTGAAATCTGTTCCTCCTTTGAGTAAAAAAAACTTAACTCTTGTAGTTAGGTTTATATATAGGCCTATGTAATAGAGTAATCAATAGTGTCTCTATTTTGTGGGTGAGCGTGAGCTATTGAGCTAATGTTTAGTTGTGAAAATGAGAATCTTTGATGGTTGCAGATTGGACATAGGCACAACAAACTACAAGCTTTGTGCCTTACTTAAAAAGTCTCGAGGCCGTGTTTATTTTCCGTGCAAAGTTACAAAGTTGCCTTTACCATTAACGATTTAAAGTCCAATATAACTAACTTGCAAAGTTGCATTACTAGAGCCATTTTTACTACAGCCTTGGTTATAAGAGTTTACAAAGTTTCTCAATCAAACATTATTTAACTGTAATGGAGAATTCAAAGCTCACCTTTCAATGAAGAAATCAGAGCTCATGAGCAGCTTCAATTCAATGGAGAAACTGAAGCTCATGAGCATCTTTAGTGGAGGAGGATGACAAACCCTACCCTTCAGGTTTAACCACGCCTTTTATTTCTCCATTTTTCTTAGGGTTTTCGTTTTATTCGGAAATGGTTGTTGGAGCTAGCACTACAAGAAAAATACTTTTTCGTAGCGGTTATTTTAACATTTCGTATGATTGCAATTGCTACAATAAAAAATCCCAACGAATGGTTATTCGATACAATATCCACTGTTACCATTGCCATTAGTAGTGTTTTTCGCTTTCGCCGGGGTTGTCCTTATTAATCGATACGAAAAACTACATTAAATCATGGTGATTATTGTAGCGATTATAATGTTGAACTCATTTTCTAAAAAAAAAAAAAATCCCTGCGTATGATCTATACAAGATTCGAACATGCAATCTCAAACGAACTCTAATATTAAATGTTTTTCCATAAGCTATGACATATTTTATGTTCTTTTTGTCAAACAAAATTTTAAAATCTAGTGTAAAAAAAGGCTTTTCATATCGATTTTTGGGTTTTAGTGGCGATTGTAAACGATACACTTTTCCATAATTTTATAAATGTGGAGAAAAAAGGTGAATAATTATTATTATATTTTTCATATCAATTTCATTTGGGTTTACTATGTCGATTGTATAATGATACGGATTCCTCTACTATTTCACAAACATATATGCATATTGTAGCGAATGTACAATCGCTACAAAAAGACAATTTTCTTGTAGTATAGTCTTTATTGAACCGGTTTGAATTTCTCTATCCTTTATTGAAACGTTCTCCGTTTCTCCATTGAAGTGGTCAATAAATGAATCCAAAGCTCGGATTAGTTTGGATAGATTTTAGACTTTTTTTTCTTCTATACTTTTAAAATTTTAATGATAATATGGAATAAAAGTAAAATATAATAAAAGAAAACTAATATTTTTTATAGTTCAAAAAGCTTCTTATTGAAGAAAAATATTAATCATTTATAAAATAAAAAACCAATGTGATCCTACAATGTTTTTAACGAAATTTAGATCTAATTGAACACTTAAATTTATTTTCGACTCGGAAATTGTGCCATTTATTCTTCGACCCGGTCCATTTTTGACGTGCACTTGTTATTATTACTCATAAAGTCATAATTGTATCTGATTTAAAAGTAAATAAACAAAAAGATAATAAGATGATGGTTTATGAATGAATAAAGAAAACATTGTGAAGATTGTTAGATTATGGAAATAATCTAATTATGTATATAATATTTTTGTATATTATTTAGTCTCGTATTTATCTAGTTTACCTAGTTTAGCCGATTGTAATTTGTACATATATATTGCTTTGCAATCAATGAAAAGGTTACGACAAATATTCTCATATATATTCTCTCATGGTATCACGAGTCTAGGTTTTCTATCTCGATCCTAACTCTCTTCCGCAATCTCTTCTTCTCCATCCTCTATTTTTTTTTTTTCCGGTTTTTC